GCTCCGGCTACAGATGGGCTTGGTGGCAGCGGGTAGAGCCATGGGTGGTGGTGTACCTACCGCACCACCCGCGGTATGGATGCATGAAGAAGACGAAGAAAGGTGATGTTGGTGAGCTTTTGTTCTGGTTGTTGTTGTTGTTTATTAAGTTAGTTAGTTTTTGTTTAATTAGGTTAATAAGTTGTAGCCTAGCTCAGTGGTTAGAAGGGGGGGGGGGGGGGGGGGGGGGTTGTGTATGTGTTTGGTTATGGTTCAAATCTTACCTTAGCCTAAGTTTTAGTTAATGGTTTTAATTAGCAATCCTATCTTATGAGCTTAATTAGTTGGTTTAATATTAGTTAATGGTTTTAATTAGCAATCCTATCTTATGAGCTTAATTAGTTGGTTTAATAAATAGGTTTTTTGTAGTATGAGAAGCCTAGCTTAGATGGTAAGGTTGTGGTTAATCCTAAGATAAGTTTGGGTTCAATTCCCTTTAATAGCTTGTTAATTAGTGAAAGCCGATGTGATTCACAGGTTCTCGTTTGGCTTATGAGTTGAGCCTAGCCTAAGTTGGCATTGTTTTTGGATGTTAAGCGAATGAGGTAAGCCATGCTCTACAAAATCTATTTTGCTTACCTATATGATGATTTATTGGATTCTACATGTGATTTTGCTATGAAATGTAAGTGTTTATGCATTCTCTTGTGAAAATGCATATCTAGAGCTTGTTATTACGGTTCATGTATGCCATTGCTTGGCTATTCCTTTGATTCAAGTCATTTTGTTGTATTTGGTCAGATTTGGCGTGATTTGGACTTGAATTTGAGCTTGGTGTTGAAATACCCGCGGGACATTTTGGTACAGGTTGGTATACCCGCGGGCGGAACGGCGGGTAGGCGTCCACCCGCCGCCCCACCCGCGGGGAACATGGCTTGTGGGTGTTGGTACCCGCGGGGAACATATGTTGGCTTGGAGGGGATTTGTTCCTCGTGATTCTTTTGACTCGATATTTGGTCTTTTGACTTCCCTATGTTCTTTTGTGGAACTATTTGAGCATCTTCTTGATGTTTCGTATGTCTAGAACTATATCTAATGGGGGAAAATTTACCAGTACAAGAAGGCTGGAGGAGGTTTTGGGGTTGGAAAATTGAACAAAACTTTTGAGGAATCGGAGAATTGAATGGATGTTGCTGCTGCCTCAAGTCAAATATCAGACCCGACCACGTAAATAACAGGTTATGAAAAACATATCAAAATGGAATTACCTGGTTCAGCTTGTGGTTCTCCTTTCCGTAGTCGGCAGAGACCAATTCGGCTTGTGCTTCTCCTTTCGGTAGTCGGTTTTTACTGTGCTTCTCCTTTCGACCCTTTTGCTGTGCTTCTCCTTTCGAGACCAAATCCTCTTGTGTTGCTGCCCTAATTTGTTTGAAGAAGATCATAAATTTTTCTTTTGCTGTGCTTCTCCTTTGAAGAAACCAGAAGTTAACTACCATTAAATTTCATTTGAACTACAAAATTGCCACCACCACTTCTAAGTTGACAAAATCTGTTTAAGTTTGAGTTTTAGTTTGGTAAAACTAAAAACAATGAGGCTAGATTAGGATTTTAATTGTGCATTGTACAATTAGAATAGCTCAAAGTACAATCTTTTAGAGCATATTGTTATACCGACATTTTTTTAGTTCCCGTTAGGAGCCTAACAATATTGGCTCTTATTAAAATTGTAGATTATTTTCCTGTTTAGTATATAATGACCGTGGGGCATAATAATAATAATATAACCATAATTAAATATTCTTGTATTCTATTCTGTGAGGCACAATAATAATATAACCATAATTAAATATTCTTGTATTCTATATTCTTCTAGGATTTCTATTACCATCATTAATTATTTCGTAGTTACCATAATTAAATAATTTGACTAATACAATGAGTTTGGACGGGAAAATGCTAGAAGGAAGATTTTACTTTAAATTATAGATATATAGATTGTCCTATTATTTTACGAATAGGAATTTTAATGTATAATTATAATACGAATAGGAAAGTAGGAAACAATATATTCTATTAGGAATCGTATTACACTATTTTATAATATTATAATAGGAATTTTAACCTAGAATTATAGTACGAATAGGAAAGTAAAAAACAATATATTTTATTAGAAAGAGAGATTTTTTAGAAATTGGGCGGCAGGGACGGAGCCAGGAATTCTGTTGAGGGGGGGGGGGGAAATAGGGATGGATTCATAAATTTTTTTCAGTAAAGGCGAAATATTAAAATAAAAGAGATATTTAAAAATAAATAAATAAATTACCTAAGAAATATAGGTGTAAATATTATTGGATATGTGCGAAAAATAAAACACATCGAAACTTTATAATAATATTCATAACAAAATATGAAACATAATTAATTTGATAAAATAATTTGAATATATATATGTATGTATGTATCAAATATTAAAAAAAAAAAAAAAAAAAAACTATTAAAACGTAACTGTGTTAAAACCATAGGGAAAGAGCCAAAAAAAACTGTAAAAATATATTAACAACTATAAGACTTGAACCCCTAACATTTATTATAACCAAATGCATGTTCTACCAACTAATCTAACTCATTTTTTTTTTATTAATAATTAACAGTTTTTATATACTAATACTAAAAAATGTACTATGTATACATATATACATACAAAAATTATATATGGGGTGGGGTAGGGGTGGGGTGGGGGGGCAGCTGACCCCTGCCCGCCCCCCCCCCCCCCCCCCCTTGGCTCCGTCTATGTTGGGCGAGAAGTTAAAGTTCAAGATTTTGTTTTTATATATAGTATAGAAGTATAGATAGATTTGTCAAATGTGACAAATTTAAAAAATAAAAATAATAAAAAATTCAAACGCAAAATGTGAGACATATTAAAAATTTTTAAAATTCAAATGCATATGGTGTATACATTTATATATACTAATATTTTATATGCGTGATGTGTAAAAATATATGCTCAATATATATTAATATTGAATGTTACAATCTTAATTATATTAAAATATTTTTAAAAATAATAGTATATAATTTTTTTAAAAAATTCATAGTTGTTGAATTCAAGTATAGTTGATAATTTGAGTAATAATTATGGTATGGTTAATATTATTAAAGTAAGTATTTTAGATATGATAAATTACTAAATATAATTATGGTAAGAGTAAATTTCAATTTTGGTTCACTGACTATTATGGTCTTGTTAATTGCAACTCACGACTTTCAAAATTATTAATTAGTATCTTAACTATTCAATTTTTTTCAATTTTGATTATGCCGGCAAAATTGCCAGTCAAATATGACCGGAAAAGTGTAACTCCCCAATTAATCTTAAACGGAAAGGGCAAAATTGTCTTTCAATGTATTGTCTAAAAAAAAAAAAAAAAAAAGTAACTGCTCTGTATAAACTACTTTTAAAGTAAATAAAGAATGAATTGAATTTCCTCTTTGCTAAAATCCAAAAAAAAAAAAAAAAAGAAAAAAAAAAGTGAATTAGTAATCCAATGATCATCTCGAATAAACTGGTTCTTCCACGATGATCTCTAACATAGGCTTCTTCGACCTGCACATAGACAACCGGTGCTTCAACTCCGGCGCCGAAAACTCTTTGAAGTTATCCAAATTCAACCTAGGCAACTTACCAGCTTGGTCGCCGTCATCGTCGTTCCGATTATGATTGCCGTCACTAATTAACTGATGATCAGGCACTATTCCCACGCTTCCACGGATACCCTTTTAGCGGCGAGGAACAAAACGCCCATGTGGGTTTTTTTTTTTTTTTTTTTTTGGTGACATCGTTCTGATTCTGCGGCCGAACAGCAGCGCAAGGCTGAAACTTCGGTCTATCAAAGTCGTTTCTAGACAGTTGGAGATTTAATTCGTCCGGAATTAATCTCTGTATTAATTTCAATTTGAATTTTGAATTAAATAAAGTCATACGAAATAAGATTGGGGTTCAACCTTTTTGGAAGAATGAAATCATACGAAAAAAGTAATTTTAAAATTAATACTCTAATTTTTTTAATAATAATAATAATAATAATAATAATAATAATAAGAAGGTGGTAAAATGTTGATGTGCACAAAGAGAAAGACAAAAGACATATTATGGAATAATAATAATAAGTCTCAATCAAAGTTATATCTCTCATTTTTGTCCATGTTTTTAATGCTAACCATTTTGTAAATTGTATTTTTAGAGTTGTACTATACAATTTCTTGGACAAAAATATCATTACCGTTATAACTTCCATTATCTTTACCATTCACATGCATTCTCCATATCTTTTTTTATATTCTTTAATGATAACAATATTTGTAAAACATTATATATTCATTATATATTGGATTAATATAATAAATAAATCTTATTTCACTTAGATTTTAATTAGTAAAAAATTGTTAGTTATTTTTAAAAATAAAAATATTGGGCATATGTTTTTACACCTCACGCATAGAAAAGACTAGTAATAATAATAAGGTGGTAAAAAGTTGTTGTGCGCAAAGAGAAAGGCAAAAGAATTTTTTTTAAAAAAGTTGGAACACCAATCAAGTTTTGAACCTTCAAACCCCAAGAGATGAAACACTATATACATGCATTTCTATCATTCTTCCATTGAGTCTTTTAAGATTAATTGTAATTTTTTATTAAATTTCTTAACTAACTAGGTAAAGTTTGAATATTGGGTCCTCTAAAATTTGAGGCCCTGTGCTGTTGGGTAACTTGCATAACCCAAAATCCAACCCTGCAGCTAGGGTCACAAAATAAATTTCACTCATAGTGATCTTTGAATAGTGACGGTAAACTTAATTTCTCATAAATAAATGTAAAGCACCCAATCCCAGATTCCCATCCTAGTGTTTTTTGTTTTTTTCTATATCCTCCACTCAGCTCATTCATATCCAAACTTAATTGAATCATCACTTTATAGCTTCACTATGTATAATGTAATATAAAATGTAAGTGTTTGGCATGATTTCCAGCACTACAACCAGAAACCCCAAATGGTGTTTCTTTATTTTATATGAATATTCAAAGATCACACTTAGCTTATTGCCTGCCACACTGAAGAATTTTTCTTTGCCACTCAGAAACAACATGATGGATGAGAAATCATGTTATCAGAACTACTACTACTACTAGTTATTGATCAGATATTGTTTTAATTTCTACTGCCATGACAAAGACCACAAACAATAACAATGCTGGAGTTGGATCACTCTACACAGCTAGCCTCTTCCTGATCCACTACTGCTTCTGCTATGCACTGAAGTTGTTGAGTAACATCCTTCATGCCTGGTCTGTCTCCCTTCTTTTCCCTCAAGCAAGCTACTGCAAGCTCTGCAAAAGCCTTCACTGTTGATGGAGCCTCCTCCTCCTCGTACAAACGTTTGTCCACCACTTCCATGATTGACCCGCTCTTGGCTCGCTCAAGGACATACACAGCCAGGTTCACTTCGTCTTCACCTCGGCTGAAGTCTATTGCTCTCTGGGAAGTCAGAAGCTCAAGCAATACAACCCCGAAGCTGTAAACATCACTCTTATCAGTAAGCTGATAGTTTCTGTAGTACTCAGGATCTAAGTACCCCATTGTTCCCTGAGCACAGGTAGACACATGACTCAGCCCTGGGCGAGCCAATCTTGAAAGCCCAAAATCCGAAACTTTTGCATTGAATTCCCTGTCCAGAAGAATGTTTGTGGACTTGACATCTCTGTGATAGATTGGAGTATAAACAGCTGAATGCAGATAGGCGAGTGCTTGTGCAGTCTGAAAAGCAACTTTTAGCCTTGTTTTCCAGTCCATAAAGTTTGGGAATTTACCATGTATATGGTCATGGAGTGTCCCATTGCAAATATACTCATAGATCAGCAATGGCTGCTCAGCTTCAACACAGCAACCCAAAAGCCTGACCAGATTCCTGTGATTGACTTGAGAAAGTATCCCTACTTCATTAAGTACTTGTTGCATGCTCCTCAAGTTACCAACTTTTGCAGATTTGATTGCCACAATGCTTCCATCTTCAAGTTTGGCTTTGTAAACTTCTCCAAAACCACCACTTCCCAGCATTCTATCTTTTGAGAATCCATTTGTAGCTTTCTTCACTTGTTTCAGACTAAACATTCTGCAGGCACCATTACTGCTTGATTTCATCAGCATCTGCTTTCTTGCCTTGGCGAGCTTCACCTGCTTGTTGTTAGAGAATCTTTTCACTGAAATTGCTGCAGCCATCACCAGTACTGTTACAACAAAAAAACTGCCCACTCCAATCAAAACCTTCAAGGCAAGGTTAGAGTTAGAGTGGGCATGATGAGGAGAGTTTTCCTTCACCATGCAAACTCCTGAGCTATGATTCCAGAAATTCCCTGTGTTGCAGAAACAGCGAAACACGCCATTTTTACCAGCAGGCAAACATGTAGAAGCCCCAGAGCAGTCAGCCTGGGATGTGCAGCTTGGTTCAGATGGAGGAATCCATTGAATTTCCAATCCTTCCTCCCATTTCCCAGTTGGGTTCAAATGCAGGATGCTTCTAAACGCTCTGCAGCCCGAGCTGTGAAGCCTTATCTTATATGCAGATGGCATACCACCAGCAACAAAGGTGCAGCAGGGGCGCAGACCGCTTGCACACTGCTGAGAACGAGCTGCATCCACTTTCTCAAGGTATCTGTGACAAAGACTAGAAGGAGTGCAATTGAGAGGTGACACCATGAGCCTTGGCGAACAATTAAACAGAAAAACAGTGTTGGAAGTAGTGACACTAAAAGGAAGTGATTGGTTCAGCCACAGCCCCTCACTCTTTGGCATGTCTTGAGTTACACATGAAGCAGACGACACCCAGGGTGATGGCTGCACCACCATGCGCTGAAATGGAGCCATAATTTTGAGGATAAGATACGAGCTGCCATTAAGGGCATCAAAATAGAGCTCCTGAGAGTGAGGGTCGCAACGAATAGAATACTGAGTGTTACCACAAGTGGGATTTGTGCTCAAGGGATATGGAACTCTCATAGACCCACATTCTGGACAGGACTTCTGTGAAGATGAGTACTGAAACAAGTGTACAAGTAGTAGCAGTGAGGCACACAAGTTTTTCTTATCCAACTTGTGTTTAGTCATGGTTATTTTTGCAAGAGAGACAGAGAGAAGAAGAAGAAGTTGAAATGATTGTGGTACAAACAGCAGGTGAGAACAAGCTAAGGGTAAATAAAGGCAAGTGAAAGGGAATAAATTAAAGTAGGTGAAAATGACAAACCAATAGGGATTGAAAGAATCTCAGCAAAAAAAGAGTGAGTGAAAATTTTGGAGGTTATTGGGAAGTTGGATTCTTATTTCCTGATGGAAGATTTTGATGATATACTAATAAAGAAATGCTTAGCACTTTACAGGAATAATGGCACACTTATTTGAGTAATTGAAGTAAGAAAGAATATTTAAATATGATTATAAGACACAATTAAGTCAGACAGATTAGAGCTTCTCCCCAGATGAATTATAATTAAACAATTCACAAACTATCTTAAAACTTAAAACCATACACTGATACACATGCCCACATAGGGTAGTTAGTTACTCTTCTAATTTATCATTACAGAGCCTTGTGATTACATTATGTTATTCTCGTATTTCATCTCCTACTTACAGGGCGTTTGGTTGGGGGGGGGGGGGGGGGGGGAATTATGTGGGAAAGGAATTGTAATTCCATGGGAGTTGAATTACTGGGAATAAAGTGGGAATTTAAATTTCAGTGTTTGGTTGATAGGAATAGAATTACTGGGATTTCAATTCCAATGTTTGGTATACATGGGAATTGAAAGAGAATAAGTATTATAAAGTCAAAAATGTCCATTATTGTTGTTAGACATTAATTTTAGGTTAAAAAAGGAATAGGTAATTTTGACTCATCACTATCTTTTTTTCCCAGGAATTAAAATACCAGGGGAGACATGGGATTTTAATTCCATGAAAATGGGGGAATTGCAATTTCATGGAATTGCAATTCCCTCCAACCAAACTACGGAATTTAATGGCCTTTGGAATTAGGTGAGAATTAAGTGGGAAGGGAATTAAGTGGGAAGGGAATTTAAAATCCCTCCAACCAAACGCCCTGTTAATACTTATCAACTATCATATCAGATTATATTGTTGTTCCAGACCTAGCTAGGTCACTCTAATACTCCATATAGATTGGTCCAAGATAATGGATTCTAAAAGTTATATATCATTTAGAGTCTAATGAGTAATTTCTCTAAAATAAAAGGTAAAAGAATCTTTCATCCACTTCTAAAATATTACTCCCCTCCAAGAAAGGTACCTCTCTTTTCTCTCCCCTTCCTTCATTTTCTTCATAGCTATGAAGCTCCATTAATTTCTTCCAATCAAATCCTAATATTGTACATGCACTATCTATACCAGCATAATAAAATTCTCAAATTAATTATATAAAAAAAGTCCGTGATTTTTTCCTTTCAAATTCTCACGGTAAATTCGTGTCTCAATTTATTTTCTTAACATAATCATGAATGTTTCTAGAGATTGTGTTGGCCCCTAAGGCCATTAAGACCAATAGAGATAATACTATTTTTGAAATAAAATAAAATTTGGTCTTTTACCTTCAAAATATTTGAAGAATGCTTCCCTAAATATCAATTGTATATTTGTATTTGGTGCATTCTTGGCACCTAAACTAGTTGAAAGTATAATTTTATTTTATAATTGCCGTGTTTGGTAAATGATTGTTAGCTTATTGTATTAATTAGGAAATATAACTATTTGATAACATTAGCTGATTGTAGAAAGGTGTTTGGTAAATTAGCTGTTAGTTGTTTAGTATTCTTTTCTTTCTCAAAAAGTTAATTGAAAAAGTTGTTTTGAGCAGCTTTTTGAATTTTAGCATCTTGAAATTACAAAAAACTAATTAACTAAACACTTATATTAATTTTTTAACCAAATTAAAAAGCTAATAGTGGTCAAATAAACCAAAATTAACCTATAAGCTAACTATTTTACCAAACAGGGCCATTATCTTTTTGAAATAATTCTTTAAATTTGTTAATCCGAAAAATTAAAATTCTAGTAAACAAATTAAAATATCATGAAGTTGTGGGTCGAGTTTGGATGTGGAAATTTTTACCCGTGATGGATGTTTCATCCGATCCGATCCCTAATTAGTTCATCATCCAACAGTAAATCTGAGGAGCTTATGGGGTAAGAACTAATGAAGTAACAAAGATCACTTGCAAAAGTGTAATGACAGTATGCAGATGAGTGGGTGCAAAGCTAATGCCAAGAAAGCAATAATATATATAATTGCTTTGATTAATCTGCAATATAATGCTAAAGGTATGACAGTTCTTCAGCAGCTGCAGCTGGAATCTAACCATATTTCTCAGTACAGTACAGTACAGGTGAAGCTAAGCAAGCAGCTGTGCTTTCAACTTCCATATATTTCATATCTTTAGAATTTTTTGAAAGCAAGGAATCCTTTTTCAGTGAGAGGACCAAATCCAGATGCCTAATCCCTGGTCTTGAGGAAGTAATTTTAATATTCACCCACACACTGGGGTCCACTAAATATTCCACCAGTGAGCCACAGCCCACAGGTGTCGTCAGTCGTGCGAGCTAAGAGCATCCACACTAAGGGGAGAATAGGGAGATATTTCATAAATAAATCACTCAAGCCAAAAATAATATTGATGTGGGAGTGAGTTATTTGAGAAAGAATCACTCTGCAAATGAAGAGTTAATGTCAAATTTTTTTTTTTTTTTAAAAAAAGAAAAAAAAGAGGTATGCGCGCACAGCCTGTGCAAAAGCCGGGCGCGTGCACTGCACGCGCCCGGTGGTGCGTCAGGCGCGCCAGTCGGTGCGCCCGACAGCATTATTATTATTATTTTTTTAAAAAAAAATCAATTTTCTCTTTTTTTTTGTTTTTCTTTTTTTTCTCTCCCCTCCCTCATTCTCTTTCCTAATCACTCTTACATTATCCCCATATTCTTCCCAACTAATGTGGATACTCTAAGAGGAGAAACAAAACTTTACACCAGCTGGAGATACTAATAAGTGTCCACCATAACTAAGCTCTACAGGCGCGTGTCACAAACCAGTTTGGCTAGCCCCAACATTTGGCCATTTCTTATATACCTTATATGTCAATTTTTACTTATTTTACCACTATTACCTTTTTGACTTGGTTAAATAATCAATATGAGTGTTTGATTAATTTACTTTTTATAATAACTTATTGCTCCAAAATGTTAAATTTAAAAAAACTTTTTGAAAAAGTCATTTTGTATTTAATCAACTATCAGCTAACATCTAATTTATCATATACTTTTCTACAATCAGCTAATACTATCAACTATTCAAACTCACTAACCCAATCAGCTAACAACTATTTACCAAACACCCCCATAAAGTAATATTCATTCATTCTTATCCTGATTCTATAAATATCCTCATCCTCATTGTAGAAATCATCCGAAAAGAACATCACCACATTAGGGATGTTTGAAGCTTGAATGTTGAATGTGACATTTGCAATCTGAACTTAACCTATTACCATCTCTATAAGAAAAATACATAACTTTTTGATTAAACAGAAGCATTTTGGATAATGACAGGCCGCTATTTGATTAATACATAAACATAAAACAGGCAATCACTCGGGTAAAAATACATTATGTGTAGTGTATAGAAAGAAAGCCACAAGAAATGAAAACATCTTCCTTCTATGAAAGCTCAAACCCAGCATTTGAATTGATGGCATAAAGAAGCTTTGCTCTCAAGGTGCTCGACCGTTTGTATGTTGGAAGCTGTCAAAGGTCCATGGGAGAGAGAGAGAGAGGATCAAATTCTCTATTGGATGATTTAAAATCCATGAATCAAACCAAAAGTTGATCCAGAATAACTGCATACCTTCAATGTATTATAGCATGTAGAAGCTGATGGAAGCCGATCAACATCCTGTCCTCCAAGTACTGCCAATAGTGGTACATCACATGAAACCTACTCATGTTCAACTTCAAGTCAGTTCCAAGTTCTGCCACAACCAAGTTGCTTCTATCTTTACAGGATTTTTTTTTTTTTTTTTTTGTATGATCGTTTTTGGGTGGTTTTTTGTGGGGCCAAATGTGAGGTGGGAGAGAGAGGAGGAAAGAGAATGTGAGAGGTCTTTGCAGGAGGATCTGGTTTTTTGCTTCCACAGTGGGCCCCACCAAATAATTAAAAAGCAGCTCCTGGTGCGCGTGAGGCGCACCAGTAGCGCCAAGCCGGGCACATTAACCAGCATTTTTTTTCTTTTTCTGACAATTTTTTTTTTCTCCCTTCCTCCTTCACTCCTACTTGGCACCTAAAAATTAGTGAAAAAACTATACTATTGAGGATGCTCTCAGTAACCTATATATTTCTTCAATTTCCAACTTATTGAACAGTACAACTTTCATCAATACAACTGATGCATTAAAACAAGTTAAGCATCCAACAAAGAGGTTTTGTTTAGCCTTAATATTAACACTTAATCCAAACGAGACCAATATTATCACACATCTGACCAGAGTCCAGTTTGATCTATTATCATACTTGCTCCATTCTTGAATTACATGTAATAAAATAGGACATATAATGATAAATGATATAAAACTTAACCACTAAAGGGGGTGAAAGGTGTAGTTTGATAGTTATGAGGTAATAGACTTGGATTTGAATCCCACTTTCCCCTCCCCCATCTATTGTACCCAAAAAAACAAACTTCAATAAATTATAAACAAACAAGTTGCTGAGACAAATTTAATGAACTTCAGACTTCAGCCAGAAACTTAAACAGCATAGATAATTTGCAGTCTTAACTTTCTAATTCATATTTCCAGTTTTGCCCTTTTCTTTTGTGGGTTGGTAATGTAAGAATCTAACACTTACCTTATGAATAGTGAAGGTTGGCTGCAAATATTTGAACCCAAGCAAAGGGGCTCGAGAACAACTTGTCACAAACTTAAGGAGCAAACACCGTTCTCTTGCTTCAAAATTTGCAAAAACCTGTAACATAAAAACCAAAGGGTATATTGGCACATTGATAGAATAATCCATGAAGAGTTGCTTGTTCCTCTCATCATAATGTCATATGCAACTTTAAATTAAAAATATATCATAAGATTGGCTGTTGCCAGTGTGCAAGGATCCAAGGATGGAGCATGACCAAACAGGTAAGCTAGTGAGCACTTGCAAACTATAACAATCTAAATAATCATTTCAAGTATCAGAAGAAAGTATACTAAGAAAAAAGTGAGAATTTAAACAGGCATAAAGGGAAAACCATAATCCTGTTAATGGCATCACAAAATAAAAGATGGACAAGAAAACAAGAAAAATTGAGCTACCTTCCAAATCCAAAGAGAGAAAGAAAAAATTCGAATACCTCCCAAAAAAGTTTCACTGCTCGACTACTTTCACTATAACCCCCAGTATACCGCGTGTTTTTCCTTAAATCATCAACATCAATATCGTGGTTTCCCCCTGAAAGCAACTGGATATTGAAATATCATAGATCAGTCGAAGAAAAATATAAAATTGCCTATACATTTTCAAAAATTCCTTTCAAAACATGCCATGTGAAATGCTGCAACAATAATAGAAATTGCAATCTTTTAGTGAGAATTTGAGATCTAGCATCTTTTCAACTCCAGAAAATGAGGAACTTCATATTTCAACAAAACGTAGAATTAAACTAACACAGAAATCAAGAAAGAACCAGGAGTTGTATAGTTAAGTAGCAATTCAATTTTGTCTTTATATTATACTAGTATAGTGATTTACAACTACACATAAAGGATAAAACTTATCAAGACCAAAATCACCAAGGCAACTGCCAGAAATGAATTTGCATTTACATCCATACAGGTATTGAGACAAATGGAATTCAATATCAAATTTTTCATTTGTTTGAAAGAAATGGCAGGCAGCAACCTAACTGGGTAAAACTTGAAGCTGAAACTCATGAAGAATTTTCATGTCTATATTAAAATATATATATATATATATATATATATATATATATATATATATATATATATATATATATATATAGTACCTGATTAAATTCACTTGCATTGAATAACTTTAACCAAGAGGGGGATATTACTTCAGTCAATCCTCTGTAAAATGCATTTGAGAATGGAAGTATCTGCAATTTAAAGCAGAAACAAAGTGAGATTATGGATACAAACACATAGGCTTCTACTATTTGAATTTACAAATGCTATATACCTGCCGATTAAGTTTATAGTCTGCAATTGCATAAATGTATTGCAGCTTGTTATCATTTGTCACACTGGCATCCTTGCCTCCAGGTTTAAGCTCAATAACATGCCTCTTTCCAAGTGATTCTTCTGTAACTGTGAAATCCAATGAGAGCTCTCTGGCATCACCCTCATAATGCTGGACTAATCATGTAAAGTGTTAGAAACTCTCATGAAGACTACAATCATTAGCAAATATGCATGCAATGCTTTAAGTATTAAAAAGTTGAATTTGGTAGCCAGCTGCCAATATATCGCATCTCCCATGTTTCAGGTTGTTGACTAGTTTTAGACATTTGTTAAGAAAGATTTAGAAGAATTTGCTATATTACTTCCTTGTCTCGATGGAGAGAGAACAGCCATATATACACAAACTCAAAAGACACAAGCCTACAAACACAACCCTACACAACTTCAACAGACATATTTCTACAGACACAACTTTTGTGTTTCAACACTCCCCCTCAAGCTGGAGTATGTATATCATACGCACCAAGCTTGTTACAATGTATTCAATCCTATGACTTCTTAAGCTTTAGGAAATATATCAGCTAATTGATTATTTGAGCCTACAAAAGATGTAATAATATCTCCAGATGCAACTTTGTCTCGTACAAAATGGCAATCAATTTCAATGTGTTTCGTGTTCTTTCATGAAAAACTGGATTTGACGCAATATGCAGAGCTGCTTGGTTATCACAAATGAGCTTCATGGACTCCTTCGTACAAATCTTTAGTTCAGTAGGGAGGTTTTTCAACCACACAAGTTCACATGTTCCAAGGGTCATGGATTGATATTCGGCTTCTGCACTTGATCGAGCAACAACATTTTGCTTTTTTACTTTTCCAAGAAATTAGGTTGCCACCAAGGAAGATACAATATCGAGATGTTGACTTTCTATCCCATGCACCAGCCAAATCAACATCTATATACCCAATAATTTCAAGGTTTCCATGGTTTTTGTATAACAAACTAGTGCCTGGAGATTTCTTAATATATTGTAAAATCCGAACGGCAGCTTCCCAGTGACTTTCACGTGGAGATGCCAAGAATTGACTAACACTTATCGCAAAAGAGAGGTCGAGTTATAGTTAAATAAAGTAATTTTCCTACCAGTCGTCTATATTTTCCTGGATCTTGGATAAGCTCCCCCTGATCTGGTAGGCGTTTAACATTTGGATTCATAGGAGTGTCAAGAGGTTTGCAATTCATCATACTTGTTTCTTCTAGTATATCCAATGCATACTTTCTTTGTGATATGCAAATTCCTTGCTTGGATTGTACTACTTCAATTCCTAAAAAGTATTTTAACTTCCCAAGATCTTTTGTTTCAAAATTTTGGAATAGGTGTTGTTTCAACAATTGTATTCCTTCAACATCATCTCCTGTAATAACAATATCATCAACATATACAACAAGATAAATGCGATTTCTTCCTCTAAATCTCCATGTAGAAAGGCATTTTTAATATCTAACTGATGCAAGGGCCAATGATGAATGGCAGCCATAGAGAGAAAGATTCTAACTGAAGCAATTTTAGCTACTAGTGAAAATTTGTCAATGTAATAAATCCCAAAAACCCATGTATATCTCTTACCTACCAGTCGAGTTTTAAGTCTATCACCCTGTCCATTGGGTCCAACTTTCACAATATATATCTATCGAAAACCAACAATTGTTTTACCTGTGGGTAATGGAACTAACTCCCAAGTCCCCGATGAATGAAGGGCAGCCATTTCATCAACCATAGCCTGACGCCAACCAGGATGGGAAAGGGCTTCTTTAACAGATTTAGGAGCAGAGACAGAAGATAAACATTTGATAAAAGCACTATATGCAGGTGAGAGACGATCATAAGAAATAAAGTCATATAAGGGAAAGGGGTTTCGTGTTGACCTGTTACCTACACGACTTGCAATGGGAGAGCTTGTTGTTGGAACCGAGTTTGAGGGCAAAGACAACTCGAGAGATGAATCAGTTGGGTTTTCATTGATTTGAACTGTCGTGGGCGGTTGAGAGTGTCGATGCTAAGTGTAAGGAAATGGAGTGATACTGGTGTTTTGCAAATGAGGTTATATAGGTAAGGGACTAGGATTTCTAGGTAATGATGGATCTTGAGGTAAATGTACCTCGGTCCCTCTTTGAAAAGTAGGAGCAGGAAGAACATTAGGGAAGGGATCAAGGGAGGCCGGTGAGGTGGACAAAAAGAATGGTGTTGATTCAAAGAAAGTAACATCAGAAGATACATTACCAATGCTTATCAAGGGAATAACATCTAAAACCTTTTTGCAACCTAGAGTACCCAACAAACATGCATTTTAAGGATTTTGGGGAAAATTTATCACACCCTGGGGTAGTGTCCCGAACAAAACAGGTGCATCTAAAAACTTTTAGAGGGAGAGTACGAGGAGGCTTATTGGGAAATAAAATATTATAAAGCATCTTACCATGTAAAACAAATGTAGGCATACAATTTATTAAGTAATAGGAATGAAGGATAGCATCCGCCCAGAACTGTGGAGGAACTTTATAATGGAGAATCATGGTGCGAGTGGTTTCAACAAGATGCCAGTTCTTTCGTTCAGATACTCCATTTTGCTGTGGAGTATCGGGACAAGATGACTCATGGAGTATGCCTTTTGAATCAAGAAAGTTACATAATGGAGTTGTAAAATATTCTCCAGCATTATCAATTCGTAATGTTTTAATAGACACTCCAAACTGATTTGTTATTTCATTGACAAAATTTTGAAGAACATTAAGTACTTCAGAAAGATTTCGCATTAAAAAGACTCATGTACAACGAGAAAAATAATCAGTGAAGGTAACATCAATATGGACTAAGGAAAAAGGGGATGCAACTCTTTTATTAACACGATTTGGAAAAGATGTTCTAGAATATTTCCCAAGTTGACAAGCTTCACACTCTAGGGTAGTTAATTGAGACAAACGTGGAACAAGTAGTCCTAATTTATTAAGGCTGGGATGTCCAAAGTCAGTTATGGGCAAGAGAAGGAATGGTAGCAGTGCAAACCGTAAGAGGATTTGGGGTAGATAATCGACAAAGTCCTTCTAATACAAACCCCCGAGACAATCATCTTCCCCAAACAACGGTCCTGCACAATGATAGAATCGGAAGAAAAAGTGACCATACAGTTTAAAGATTGATTTTGTAAGTTTATGGACAGAAATTAAATTGAAAGGAAAATTAGGTATATAAAGAATCGTAGAGAGCAGCAAAGTAGGAAGGGGGAAAGCTTTTCCAATTGCAATGGCCGTTCTCTTTTACCCATTACCGAAAACAATAGAAGGAAGAGACTTAGACTTGGTGAAATGAGAAAATAAAGATGAGTTACTAGAGATATGCTCAGAGGCACCTGAATCGATAACCCATGGTCCGCTCAAGCTAGATTGTGATACAAGGGCAGTATAAGCTTCTTCAGTGTAGACTGCAGGAGTGACACCGAAAGCCTTGGCATTGGTTTTAAATCGAACAAACTCTTCATATTCAGCAACGGAAATGGTTCGAGAATTTTGTTCTCTAGGTTGAGATTGAGCAACACTTGCTTGGGTAAGCACCGGTTTCCCATGAAGTTTCCAACACCGATCCCGTGTGTGTCTAGGTTTATTACAATAATCACAAAATCTAGTGTTTTTTCGTCCACCACGATTTTAGTTCGTCCACGACCTCCTTGTGTTACTAGAGCTGATTGTTCGAGAGTAGATGTGTGAACAATAGGAATGGAGGTTACCTGCAGCTGCAAGAGACGTTTGAACAATTCGGTGGTCCCTGGAACAGTGTTGCTTCCAAGAATTTGATTCCGAGTTAATTCCAACAATGGTCCTCCGACTATATTGATTTTCCGCAATTAATCCCCGACTTTTAATTTGGACAATTTAAGTCCCTTGACTTTCGAATTCTTTCCAATGTTAGTCCTTCCGTTAGATGAATGTTAAGTGAACGTTAAATGGAGGGGTAAAGTTGTCCTTCCACCTGCGTAATGTATAATTCCCCGTATTTCTCCCTTCCTTCTATACGCAACATCAGATTCCTACATCAGCATCCAGATCACAGCGTAAATTCCCAAGCCCCACCACAAATGGGCAAGCTGAAGTTTGATTCAAGCGTACGAAATCTCCTCACTGGCTTCTTCACCAAATCACACTGAAGTTTCATTTGTCGGCAACTCCAATTCCCTACACCTCTCTCTATTGCAGCCACGCACTTTAGGTGTTTGTGTTTTTTACTCTGAGAAGAGGAATTAAGCTCAACTCAAGTCAATGACGAGGTGAAGGAACCAGGACTCAGAAGTTTCAGCACCAAAGCCACAGCTGTTGTCTTGTGCGTGTGTTGGGCCAGTACGGGAGTTTGTTTCATTGGTTTGAGGAATAGGCTGAAATGTTGGTTCAAGATCGAAACTCTTCGCCTCCAGGATCACCCCGGGTGTCGAAATTTAGCAGAGATAGAGCAGCATTATTGCCCCGAACTCGCTTTGTAGAGACCAAGAATCTTGATTTCTCCGTGTGGGCTTCAGAGAATCTATACAAAATTCTCACCATTGTCCTCCTCATCGCTACCGTTGCTGGCCTTTTTTTTTTTTTTTTTTTAAACCTCCGCAACGGTGCTGGGATACTTCTACCCTGCTCTGCATCCAGTCTGCCCAAATCCAATCCATTAAATCCGAGTTGCCTAAAATCAACTGGAATAACATCCCTGCAATCTGAGATAAGTCGTCTCGCTACGCGAATTTTCGATCCGAGAAGTGGATCGTTGTCTCCGTGTCAGATTATACCTCTGATTCGCTTGAGAAGCTTGCTAAGTTAAAAGGATGGCAACTGTTGGCTGTCGGGAACTCAAAGACTCCCAAAGATTGGATCCTCAAATGTACGATTTAGAGTTTTGGATTTTCTCCCGGGTTGAGAAGTGTTCGGTGCGAGCATACGAAGAGGACTCCTGTTTGGTTGGTGGACTTGGAAGCTGGCGGCGGCGGGTGCCTTTTACGGTGACTCTGACGCCGAGTGCCCAGAAAGCATAGTACACCACCGGCATCGGGAGGGAAAAATACGACTATTCAGTGAATCTGATGAGAAAATATGAGGAATTATACATTAAATATGTGAAAGGACTACTTTACCCTCTCAT